TCAAAATTCACATTCCAATGAATTTTGGAGCTGGCCTGCCTCTCCCAGTTCATAAAATTGAGGGGGAGGTGGTTTGATAAATCCTCACATGCTGGCTGGGGAAGCCTGGGAGTTGAAGTCCACAAGTGTTAAAGTTGCCATGTTTAGAGACCCCTGCTCTACAGGGGTGTGAATGCTTTGTTGCTTGTTGCCTATTGCTTTTTAATGATTATGTAGCTATGTTTTCCCAAAGTGTATAAAAACTATGCTAATTTGGATATTGGAACCTTTTGATTTGTAATGTAGTTCCAAGAGCACACCTGTTCTTGCACTGTACACAATAAACAAGTTACAATTTCCTGCCTTGTGGGATACTTGGCCACTTCACACCAGGGGAAAAAATATGTCCAGCATTTGATTGGGGCGGTTTACAGTTTGGCCATCAAGCAGGACTGCTTTTGTGTACCTGTCTGCACTGCTATTTGCCTGTGGAGGCTTCAGGGCAAAGAGATGCTTCCCCTCACCTGCAGCATCTTGGATATTGTGCTTAATTGCTTCTGCCTTCGCCCTGACGTCCTGCCTTCGCAGTAGTTACTGGTGATACAGGAGGATCATTTCCCACTTGCTGCAAGCGATCCTGGTGGTGCTGCCACCTCGCTCGGTTAAGGGTATAATCCTGCCTCCTTCCCCATATCCTCAGTACCCCTGCAAAACACAAGGCTATTTTGAAGGAAAAAATCTGCTGCCTGCAGGTGGAGGAGAGCTCAGTGAGGAAGGGTCCGACCTCCCCTTCTTTTGTCAAAAGTCCTCTCCAGCAATTCTTCGGCCTCCTCCGACCGAAAGCTCCCCCACCTCCCTCGGGGCTACGGCACAGGCAGCACCTATTAACGCAGCTGGGTCTGCTCTGCTGCCTCCCTGGGTCCCTCCTGGGACTTGCTCAGAGAGACGACAGGTGGGTGGGTGTCTCCCCATTTTCTCTCTCTGCCTTACCCTCGGTTACAGCTCATTAAAATACGAACTCTCCCAAATCCAATTCCAAACACATCTTTGGAGGGTGCGCACGCGATCACTTCCGGGTATCAAGAACCCTCGGATTAAAAAAAAAAAAAAGCGTGGATTTTATGCCCAATCATCTAACCCAGTGTTTCTCAACTTTGACCATTTTAAGGCATGTGGACTTCAACTCCCAGAATTCCACAGCCAGCAATGCTGGCTGTGGAATTCTGGGAGTTGAAGTCCACATGCCTTAAAATGGTCAAGGTTGAGAAACACTGATCTAACCAACACAGAGCCCCAAATCCAGTTGTAGAATGAGAGAAACGGCAGGCTTTCCCTCCTCTCCCAGGGATTGGGGGGGTTTGGGGAAATGAAAAGGAGGAGTGAACAAGGGCGAGGCAGACGGGATCAGGTGAGAGGATTAAGTCAGAATTTTAATTATATGCAGCTTGTGGGCTTGCAAAGGAGAAAAAGCAAGAAATTAGAATTAGCGTGGCAGACGAAACGCAGCCTCACCTATAGAGAACCGAAAAAGCAGCGCAAAAGAAAGACAAGCCGACCAGGATCAGCCCCACAGAATTCTGATAGGTCGAATTTATTAAGATGGCGAAGCCGATTGGCCAGCTGCTAGCATCACTTATAGAGAGCCTATCACGTTGCTCAGTTACCGCGCCCACCTCCGAACCTGAAGTTGCAACATGGTCTGATAGAATCAGAGGGGAGCGTTTACATCAGAGACAACATTCTGGAGATCTCTGGACCGCTGCCCAGAGTTGGTTTTCCTCTTCTTTTTTTGCATCTGATGTTCTTCCTCAGTCGTGCAACTGCAACCCACAACTGTGTGGTCTTTTTTTTTTTCAATGTTATGTTTTTTTATGAAATTTGCAAGATTGGGATGTCTTCATCCATCAAAATATCTCTGAACAGTTATTTTTAGCATTTTATTTAAATGTCCTTAAAGGGTGAAGAAAGGTTTTCAGCTAGGAACAAGAATCCTCTGAATTTTTTTTCAACACACACAAAAATACAGAGAGGGAAAGAGAAAACTCTTTACTAATTAAAAGGCTATAAATACATTCATCAAGGATATTCTTCCAACTCTAGCTGCCTATATAAAGTGGCTTATACAAGGCTACCATACAGTATCTGAGGAAAAATTGAGAACAATACAGTAGATGTCACTAGAGCTAGAAGATTGAGTTCCCCTTATCTCTCGCTCCAAACACCCACAGCCACTCAGTTTGGGCAAGACTGAGTTGGAAATAAAATCTTGACAGTTTGACTTGGCAGGCCTTTGGTCAAAAGACGAATTGGGCGTCATCAGCATAGTAACGATACTGAACCCAATTGGCAGATGACCTCACCCAGTAGAGTTTCATATAGATCAGAGGTCTTGAAACTGGGCCCTTTTATGACTTGTGGACTTCAACTCCCAGAATTCCTCAGCCAGGCACACTGGCTGAGAAATTCTGGGATTTGAAGTCCACAAGTCATAAAAGGGTCAAGTCTGAAGACTCCTGACATCGATGTTGAAAAAGCAGGAGAGACAGTAGGGCAACATAGCAACACTCCCAGACAGGAGGGGCCTGGAGGCGGATCTCTCCCCAAAACCAACACCAACAGGAACCAGCCTGGAGAAGAGAACTAACATAAAACCATGCCCCCAATCCCCAACCGCCTGGAAGTGGTATCAAAAGCTGCTGAGATGCAAGGAGCACAAGGATGAAGGACCACCTCCAACTCAATTCTGCCACTCCATCAACAAACAATTGATAATCTATGACAATGTCCTCCTGAGGGTACGAGCATTGCCAGGAATTCACATGTATCTATCAAGGACAGGACATTCTTGATACAGATTTAGTCATTTGGGAATTTTCACTATATTACTTTCCCCCCAGCACCAATTCTTGAAAGCTTTTTGCATCTTCAATTCAAGCTTTATATTACTTGCTGTTCTAATTTTATACACAAATAATTGTATCTAATAGTATTAATTTGCCTTATCTCTGATTTTTCTAAACCCAAGTTTGCCCATACTATGCTTTGATAGATCTTGTTGCCACCAGCTGGTTTTTGCAGCAAATTACAATATATACAATATTTTCTCTTTGGTTTCCTGGTTTAAAGTTTGTTATGAATATTGAGTTGCAAGAAACAAATGGAAACAATGTAATAGCTCAAGGAATTCAAAGCTTTATTGACTCCGTGTCATGACAGAATAAGGCAATAAGTCATAAATATTAAATATAAGACCAAAGTTAGGAAATTACAATCAAATAAGTAGCATGAGCCTAAGCTATTTGAAAACTATTAAGAGAACCCAAGGATCACCAACATCCACCCTCCCCCCCAGTTCCCTCTGGATGCTTTTGATTGCAGATCTCACTAATCAATGTGATGTCAGCATTGCTGGGAACTGCAATTCAACATCTAGACCAGTGTGCTCACTGAAACACTACTGTATTTAAACTATATGAGACAGTAAAGTTGTGACTTAGTCATCTAAATCCCCCTTCATTTAGCCTTTTGGCTAATCAGATTTATCAATCACTAATTTTAGGAAGAAAAATACTTTGGTGTATAGAATAAGCAGTTTGTCAACTGAGGGTGGCATATGGTTCCATTTTTGAGATATCTGTAGTCACTCAAGATTGGGCTGATGAAAATTTGAAGCAAAACTCCACTTCCTTGGGAGCAAAGTGAAAAACAATGTTAAGCCCAGTAAACTAAAACTAACACCAATGCCTCCTATTTTAAAAAACCCACCAAAACCTATCCTGCAATAAAACTCTTGTTGCCCTTATAGGTGAAAGTTATCCAAATTGGAAAAGTTGCCAATCACTGGTGTAGACTGGTATTTAGATAATGCTTTGACCAGAATAACCTGTAAAAGTCCTTCTCCAATCCCCATGTCAGGAACACAATTTACACTGACCACTTTCCAGATTCCAGACTGTCAGAGCTTGTTTCTGGTTTTTCCTGTGGATGCATTTCAGAGCGAGGCATCCTTACTGGTAACTTTGGGTCTTCAGAACAGAACAGCAGAGTTGGAAGGGTCCTTGGCGGTCATCTAGTCCAACCCCCTACTCGGGCAGGAAACCCCTATACCATTTCAGATAAATGGTTGTCCAGTCCCTGCTTAAAACTTCCAGTGTTGGAGTATTCGCAATTTCTGGAAGCAAGCTGTTCTACTGATTCATTGTTTTGTCAGGAAATTTCTCCTTAGTTCTAGGTTGTTTCTCTCCTTGAGTAGTTTCCATCCGTTGCTTCTTGTCCTGCCTTCAAGTGCTTTAGAAAATAGCTTGACTCCCTCTTCTTTGTGGCATCCCCTGAGATATTCATGCACCTAATTATGGCATCAACATGTCCTGGCATCTTTTTTTTTTCTTGGTCCATAGCCTTCATCTCAGCCCCAGCCCACAAGTAGGAGAGGTTGAAGTTGCCATTAGCTGTATTTCCTCCCTTAAATAAGTGCCATCAAAGTGGAACTTCAACATTGTAAATCTAAGACTGTTACCTTGAAGAGAAGGCAAGCAACTGACTGTGACTGAGAGCAAAGGCAATAGCGGCAAAATGAGATGGCAATTCAATTTTCTGCCAATTCAAGGAAAGATGGATAATGCCCTGATTCAGCAGTGAGGAAAATACCTTTCTAATATCTTCTATAATCACCAAACTATTGTTATGTCAAAATAACAGTAAAAAAGGACAGCCCTTATATCACCACAGTAATGACGGGATGATACTAGAAAAGTCACTAACTGGGATCAATGTTTGCATAAAGGAAGAAGTACAAATAGCTAGGAGACAGAGACACAACTACAAAAGAATTTATGCTATTGGGAGCTCTAAAAATGCAATGGACAACACTAAACTTTGAGGCATTTCTTGGAGAATTTAATGTAGAGTGGCAGCTATGTTCAGCCTGCATATTTGAAAATAAATGTATCTGTCACAAACTGTTATAAATCCAAAGAAAGCAGAATCTTGGCAGATAATTTTCCCTCAAGCCATTTTTTTTTGAGAAGTCAAATATATTTGACAATGTATTAACTACAATCCATTTTCTCCTCTGCCTCATTCTGAAACGCATCCACATGTGAACTATCTTCACTTGTATCAGGAGGAAATGTAGAATCAAACCAAGATTTAAATTTGGATTGCATTTTTAAAATGATTGAGCAAATTAAATAGCCCCATTCAATTATGCTACACTCTTTGTTTCTCATTTTATAAGCAAATCCAGCAGCGTGCATAGCAACAAGTTGCCCATTTTTGTCAAACACCGGTGAACCCGATGAGCCCTCAAAAAAACAGGTATTGTAAGTGACAAGATGAGGACTATTTTTTTTGTGGTCAAAACCTTTTGGATTATACGTATGGATGCATTTTTTTTCTGAGTTGTAACCACACACATATTTGCTGCATTCAATTTTCTGCTGTTGCTGCAAATGATTGCTATATTCATTGCCACGCTCAAATACACTGACAACAACACAAACATCCGTAGACTTGATTCCTCCCTTTGGGTGACCTGTGATAAAAATGGGACCATTTGGTGGTGGTGGGGAATGAAATTGCAACAGTCCTGGTGGAGGATGACTTTTACTTTCATTTTCTTCCAATTTCAGGACAGCAAAATCAAGATCCTCATCTGATATTTCAAACCAGTTTTCCAATGAGAACCACTTTTCTCTAGGAGGATGCTCTTTTTTATAAGAGAAAGTTACACGGGCTAACTGCTTGATTCTCTTTCCCCAGTCCTTTGCTTCAGTTCTTTCTCCAACTATCGACTTTACTACATGGTGACATGTTAATATATATCTACCATGGAGAACAAAGCAAGTTGCAGACCCTTGAACGCATCCTAAGTCATTCTTCCAATCTATATATCCAACTGAATTCATACGGGTAACAAGTGTCTCCATCAACATAGCTGAAAGAGAGTCATTTACCTCCTTTCCAAAGTTTTTCTTACAAACTTCAAAGTCCTTGTTATTAAGTGTCAAAAATTTGAAAACCTTTTGCCCTTCTTTCTTCAGCTTAGGATACAAATGCAGGAGCTGGTATTCAAACTCCTGCTGCTGTTGTAGTTTAGAAGTACCGAGCTGTCCCTGCTCATAGTCTGGCCGTGGCTGTTGTGTTTTAGAAGCACTGAGTTGTCCCTCCTCAAAGTCCGGCTGTCCCTGTGGCTTTTCAAGGGTACTCAGCTGCCCCCCCGCCAAGTCTAAATCATTCTGTTTCTTGTTTAGATCACCACTGTATCTGGCACCTTTTTTAGACTCCACGTGAATTTCATAAACTTCATCTGGTTGATCTGATAAGATCTTAACTAAGTAATTGTTTTCTGTGATTGTTCCTTTTTTTACCAGTGTCCAATTCTCTTCTTTCAGCAATGGCAGAAAGCGGCCATCATTGCACAGGGCATCTTTTATCGATTCTTCTTTAGGGGCAAAGATACAAAATGTGCAATATTCGTTAATTAGGCTGCCGTTTTTTATTACCGTACGGCTTTGTTTTCCATGGCTTTCCATTCTAGAACCTTTTCCTTGGACATAGAACAATATACATTCTTTCCTATCGTCATATTGGCGATACCATACTTCATCAGTTAGCTTGTAGGACTTCATTTCAAATAGTGAGCCATCAGGTACATACTTTAAAGGCATTCCCAGATTGATGAAGCAATCCCAAGACTCTTTCTTCTCTTTTAAGTGGAACTCTTTTCTCTTGTTTCTGTCCATCCAGGCACAAACAAGATGATTAGACCTGAGGGCACTAAACAGACTGTCGGTAAGTCTGCCTCTCACTAGATGCTTCCTTCCATCTTTACCGAATGTCACCTTGAATTCTCGTTCTTCTCCACTTGCAGACTTGCGACTTGTTGCAACTTTTTCAGGACAATTATATTCATCGCTACTTAGTACCTCTTCTTTGATCTAATAAAAGGCAACAATTAAATATGCGTTTGGTTTGTTATTTTGTTTTTCATTAAAACAACAGTAAAAAGACCATGTAGTGCCTAGAAGCTATGTAAAGTAGATGTGAAACAATATTTTGTATAGGATATTTTCATAGGTGCTTTTAACTCAATTCAGGCATTTTCTGAACTGAATTTAATTAAGCTACCTAAGAAAGAAAGAAAATAATTAAGGCCATGAGCACAAATCTTGGCTCAACATGTCAACAGTACCAGATACTTTTTCTTCTTGAACACAATAACCTGAAAGGCAACTGTCTATATGTTCAAACCGAAGGGGCTTATAATCTTCCCTTAACCAGGCACACTGCAGACCTGGGATTCTCAATCATGGATTAATTTAAAACATGTTCTGCTCTACCCATATCTCCAGGTGCATTTGATTCCATAATGTACTAAGGAGAGGCATGCAGACTGTGGGGAAATTCCACCATAACATCCCAAAAGGAAAAGAATTAAAGGAAAGTTAGCTTGATTCATCACTCCCAGTAATAGCAGGGTCAACTAACACTTTCAAAAGCCAAGCACCGAGGATCCAGTCAGGAGAACTGGCCTCTCTTATGTGGCATTTAAAAACAGGAAGAGGACAGACTCCATGTTTGTCTTTCAGGGTTTCTGCTTCTTCCTCTGGAGCAGCTGAAAGCCAAGTTAGCAGAGAGCCCTTAGCCATCAGCAGTGCAATTGCACGTTCTATTCTGCATTTGGATAGAATAATAGGATCAGTGGTTTCTTGTGGGATGGACCAGGATTTTCAAACTGTATTTTACAGAGAACTTAAGGACCAAAATCAATAGACTCAAACTCAACCAATTTTCTATTACTAGAGTATGATTTGACCCAATGTCTAGAGCAGTGGTTCTCAACCTTTTGAATGCCGCGACCCCCAACCGGTCGTAAGTAGAGGACTAAACCGGTCGTAAGTCGAGGACTAAACCGGTCGTAAGTCGAGGACTACCCAACCGGTCGTAAGTCGAGGACTTTCCCTGCCCGGGAGTGCCGCGCATGCGTGGTTCCGCCCCCTGCGCCGGCCGAGGCGTAGCTGGCAAGCGGCAGAGACGGAGCAGGGCGACCACCAGCTGGCCCAGCCCAAGGGAGGTAAGGCACCCACCGGAAAAGGGGAAAAAAATGGCAGACAGCCTTGCTTGGCGACCCCCGTGAAATGGTCGATCGACCCCAAATGGGGTTGCGACCCATAGGTTGAGAACCGCTGCTCTAGAGCCTGTTCAGCTATAGACAAGACTAAGAGGCTGTGGCTGTTTAGCCCCTCCCCCTCCCCAGGTTGAGGAAGTTTTCACTGTCCATCTGGGATAGGGTACTACTTCCTTATCTGAGACTGGAGTACAACTTGGGGAGCCTCCTGGATGGCAGTGACTGTTGAAAGAGCAGGTAGCAGCTGTGGCAGGAATGCCCTTGCACAGGCTTATCTTGCAGACCAATCATGTTCCTTGCTCAACCGGAGGAGGCCTTCCAATGGTTACTCATGCCCTCGTAATTGGACTTTGCAATGTATTCTACCTGGGGCTGCCCTTGAATACAATGTGGAAGCTACAGCCGATTCAAACTGCAGCAGCACACACAATAATGGATGCTTTTCCCTATGCCCATGTGTCACCATGCTAGGTGAGCTGCGTTGGCTGCCAGTTGTGCGTTTCAAGTGCTGGTTGTCTTCAATTAAGCCCTATATGGCACAGGGCCTTGTCGCCTAAGGAACTGCCTATCTCCGTTCTTTTCTGCCCACCCCGTAGTTAAGCAAATAACTAGGTCCTCTCTATTAAACATTATCATCTTGTAAAACCAAGGAAGTGGGCCTCCTGAAACAGTCCCCACTGTCTGAAATAACATCCCATCAGAGACAAGGAGAACATCTACTATGCTGGGATTCAGGAAAGCTCTCAAGACTTCACTCCGGTTCAAAGGGTGGGCTTAATGTAGTCTGTGAGGTCCCTGTTGTGATCTCCTGTTACTCTTATGGCTGTTTTAGTCTGGCCGAATCATTTTATATTTTTTTGCTGTTTTTGGATTGAGTGGCTAATAATAATAGAGGTAGTCCTCGACTCACAACCATTTGTTTACAATAGAACTGAAAAAAGCAGCTTATGAGCATTCTTCACTTGCACCATCCCCACAGTCACGTGATCAAAATTCAGGCACTGGGCAACTGGCATGGACCCGTTGACAAGCAAAGACAATTGGGGAGGTCAAATTCACTTAACAATCACACGATTCACTCCACAACTGTGGCAAAAAAAAAGATCATAAAATGAGGCGCAACTCACTTTAACTGCCTCACTTAGCAATGGAAATTTTGGGCCCAATTGTGTTTGCAGATCATACCAAAAAATACCTTTGACGGCACTTAGAGAATCTGCACATTGACAAAACTTCTGCCACTTACCAAAGGCTAGGCTGCTTGGATCCACACATTTAGTGTGCCGATACTTTGCAACATCCTAGGTTCTCTCGGAAATTGATGTATATGAAAGCCAACCCCAGTTAAAAGAACTGGCGGCTGTGATCTCACAGTCGTGTACATAATAGGAATGATAAACGTTAACAGGTCCCACAGCCTGAAAAAGTTTAAGCCACAGGCTTGGAGGCAAGGAGAGAGTAAGGAAATGCATGTCATGACATGCCCACGGAAAGCATGACTCACCGCACGCAGACCATGAGAACAGGAACCAACTCAGAATAAGCAGGAACTTTTTACCTTTGGATTTTCAGCACTGGTTACAGCAGCGGAAGCATCTTTCAGCGGTTCCATCCTTACTGTTGGTAAAGTGAGGGGGAAAAAAAAGAGATGATGACCTAAACAAGAGGATTATATACTCAATTTTTCCTGCTATTTTGACTTCTTTTTTTTTTTACCCACACCATTATTCATTTTCAGCTAGGGCATTTTTGCTGCTTTGGGCACCTAAGCTTTTAGTTTATTATCTCCGTTTATTGAATAAACCAAAATTAGCTCGGTACACCACACTAAATCATGATCAAGATCACTAGCTTATTATGGCTGCGTGTGCTGGGTCAGCCAGTTAAGGTTTCTCCCGCCCGCCGACTGCTGTGAGATTCAATTCGCAGGCGGGACGACATCTATGAACCTTGTCGGCAGAGAGAGTACTGTAATAAAGGAAATCATGATCGTTCGTCGTTTCGCGTTCACACGTTCATTCAAGAACTCTTTACCTTTAAAAGGAGCTGTCTATCAGCCGAGGTTTGGAAACAAAAGACAACGGGAGGCCTCTGGCACACCTTCCAGAACGACAAAAAAGGGGGAAATGACTCCACAAGTTCTTGCGCGGGCTTTTCCGAAAGGCGGAGAGGGTGGGGACAAAGTGATTTTTCCTCTTTTCCGGGGCGGTGATTTGGGCCCTAGGCAACAACGGACTCATTTCGGCAAAAGTGATTCCCGCCCGTTTCCTTTTAGATGACGAGATATGGAAAGCAGCCGCTAGCCGAGAAATGAAAGCGAAACTGGATCCAGTTCTGAAATTCCCGGGTTTTCATTATGGCCTCTTGGGGCGCTCTGAATCAATTAACCAATCAATCCCCGGAAGGTACAGAAGTAGATTCCAGCTCCGGGGGAAGAGTCGCCGAAGCTGGCGAGAGACTGCATCGGGATCGTTCCCCTCCTACTGGAAAGCTGGAAAAGCCTGGCGGGGGCTGGATGATTCAGAGCCTTGCTCCCTTCGGCTTCCGAATTTAAGTCCTGCTTGCATTCCAGCCTTTGTCTGAAAAATAGGGACGGGGGAGGAAACAAATAAGCGAACACCGTCCTAGAGGCAAACAAAGTCATTACCAAAAAAACCAAAAACCAACATGGGTTTGTCAAAAACAGATCATGCCAGACAAATCTTATTGCGTTCTTTGACCAGGTGACAAAATTAGTGGACCAGAGGAATGCTGTGAATATAATTTACTTGGACTTCAGTAAGATATTTGATAAAGTAGATCACAACCTTCTACTTCAGTGTTTCTCAACCTTGACAATTTTAAGGCATGTGGATTTCAACTCCCAGAATTCCACAGCCAGCATTGCTGGCTGTGGAATTCTGGGAGTTGAAGTCCACATGCCTTAAAATTGTCAAGGTTGAGAAACACTGTTCTACTTGATAAAATAGAAAAATGTGGGTTAGACAGCATCGCCACCAGATAAATTCCTAGCTGGCTGACTGGCCTGACTGAGCGTGTGGCCCTCAATGGAACTGCATCTACATGGAGAGAAGTATGTGGTGGGGTGCCCCAGGGCTCTGTTCTGGGCCCAGTGCTCTTCAACATCTTCATCAATGATTTGGATGAGGAGATAGATGGGGAACTCATCAAATTTGCAGACGACACCAAGCTGGGAGGAATAGCCAACACTCCAGAAGACAGGCTTAGGATACAGAAGAATCTTGACAGACTTTGTCTTTGTATATGCATAGGTAGTTGTCTCTGAGTCCAGATAGCCCCAATCCATTTGAGCTTTCATAACACTTTATAAACCTGGCTCTCCCGTCAAGCTTTGGATGGCATGTAGCGATTGGCTCTCTGATGGTGCTTTGACTGAAAATCTGTTTATTTAGTTATCCTTCCATTATATACACCTTGCATTTAACTGTTGAGTTTGTTGCTTTAAAAAAACTTTTTGTTACTTGTTTCAATCCTTTTTTGCTAGCTACCTAGAGTTACTTCACCAGTATACAAACTGATAAATATTTTGTGAAAAATATTAAAAGAGGCAAGCAAAAGACATAATGATTCTGATGAAAAGAAAAATCGTTCTGGATGTGGATGAAAAGGGCTAAATGAAAAGTCTCCAGCAGAATGAAAGGAATTAAAAATAAAATTGATGAAATTATTTTGGATGAAACTGAAATAAGGAAATGCTCAAAGCAGTATATTGACATGGAATGATAGTGATAGGCTGGAATTGAAACCAAGGATAGAAATGTTACTGTACAAGAAAAGTTGCTGAAAAGTAAGCAACAAGTGCTGTGAGAATGTTGAAAAATGTAAAGCTGCAGTGTAGACAGTGTGACTGTGTGATAGTGTTACTAAAAAAAAAATTAACCTATGGACATGATTTGAGTAGCATTTCCAAGGTAATGATTTGAGTAGCATTTCCAAGGTAATGTCCTATTAACAAAGCCTTCTACAGAATCAACCAGAAAAAAATCCAGGTCTCAGTTCCAAGGATTGAAGGAATCCTATTTCTATTTACTAAAGTTGGATAATTATGCATGGAGAGCCACCATTATTGGCTCTGTTGTTGTAGATAGAATTTATGGTGGATTAATAAAAATCACAAGGCCTATTCTTGATTGCATTGCCAGTTAGATGCTCAATGAAATGTATGTCAATGCTTTCAGTGGGCACGTTAGACTAAGGTTACTTCTATACTAATATGTGGCATTGTCAATTTAAAACAAATATGTTTGTTGCATGTGTTGTTAAGTATTTGTTTTCAATTTCACTCTTTACACAACATTTATGCTTTGTTGTAATAGGAGTCCCTGTTATGGCTATGGTGACTATTTTCATCAAAACAATCCATCCACTTCAAAAGGCAAGCTAGACATTAGACAACACTCTGATTGTTCCATGAGCTTGTGGGCAACTCTGAAAAATGTAGCAGAACAGCCTGCTTTAGTGTCTGGTAATAATCTGCAAGAACATCGGATGGGCACCAAAAGTGCAGAGATAAAGAGGTTGCCTTCATCCATAAATTCCAACTCAACATTCTGCCTTTTGTGGGGGCAAATTAAGCAGTTTTTGAAGTCCAGCAGCATGACTTGGTAGCTCTGGATCTGAAAGTGCAATAGACAGCTTCAGTAAAGTATTTCTTTGAGTGGCCATGTCCACACCAGCCTCTTTATTTTTCCAGTACAGATCCATTACAATGGAAAATCCAGTACAAACACAAGCAGAACAGTTACATAATTGGGTCTTATACTTTCAAACAAAATGCCACTGTCCCCTGATGTCAGGTCATTTTGAAATAATAATTTACACTCACAGAATTGCGGCATAGTCAGTGGTTTCTGATCCAGAAGCAAACTTTTATTTCATTACAACTGGAAACTCAGCCACCTTCTCAATATCTTAACAGCACTATCTGTGCCCATACTTTTGTTCATCTCCAATGCCAGTCATTTCTTGGCTGTCTTATTAAGGACATAAATATGTTTCATAAACTCTGGGGAAAGAAAAAGGGAGAAAAAGAGAAACATGTTTACCTGTAGAATTTGCAATGTATAGTATAACATTTCTGTAGAATGTAGAACATTTCGGTTAATAATTCCTCCGTGTCACAGATGGACAGACTTTGTGCCCAGGGCAGCAAATATTTACACTGAGAGCAACATCAAAAGGAAGGTATGCAAAAGAGGGGGGGGCTAAGGGGGGAGAAGGGACTTTCCGGAAAAAGTTTCTGTTTCGACTTTGCTTGAAAACTGCTGCTTGAAAACGGCTGCCTGACTCATTCTCCGCAGTAGAGACGCTCCCATCACGTTTCAATTGTCCAATCCTATTGTTTGGGGAAATCAACGTTCCTCTTTAGTCTTTCTTCATTTATTCCTTTTTTTAAAAAAAAATCTGTGATAAACTAAGCAAAGTAGCCGAGAATTCCTTTGGTGGACAGAAAGAAGCTGTGGATCTGGGGAGCCAAGCAAGGTAAGGAATGATTTCAGATGACTTTTCCAAAGTTCAGAGACAACCCTATTAGGGCCAAAGTGTTCAGGAGATTTGCAAGAGTTTTGGTCTCCTTTTTTGGGGAGACCAAGTCCCTGCAGGTTTTCTACTAATCTTAGAAACATAGAATATAGAATCAAAGGGCTGGACGTTAGGACGTTATCTAGTCCAATTAACCTGCTCAAGGCAGGGGACCTTCTACCATCCAGGTCAAATGGTTGTCCAGGCTGTTCTTGAAAACCTCTAGCAATGGAGCATTTGGGAAGGCAAGCTGTTCCATTGATTAATTGTTCTCACTGTCAGGAAGTTTCTCCTTTGTTCCAGGTTGGATCTCTTTAATGAGCTTCCACCCTTTGCTTCTTATCCTGCCCTCAGGAGCTTTGGAGAATAAACCAACCCCCCCCCCCTTATCTCACTGACTGCAATTGTTTCATACTATCTCTGTCTGTTAATGTTTCATACTGCCCCTCAAGTACTGGAAGTCAGCTGTTATAATTAAAGCTGCTTCCTCTTTGCTGCTGTTGGGGGCAAATAGGAGAGGGAGGGTAAATCTCGGCACAAAGCCAGAATAAGGTTGTTAGAAGTAAGTCTTCATCCTGGTTCATCCAAGCCTGGAATAAATAAGCAACATGGCGACTGCTTTGGGAAAATGGTTACAGTTTATTGAAGAAGCAGAAAGATGATTCTTGCAGGAAAGAGCAGAGGAGAGAAGGGCTGAGCACATGGGAAGTAGCTCTTTACACCCTCTCTAGCCTTTTGTTTGGAATAGTTTCCTCTTCCTGTGGCATGAACTTTGAACTGAGTCTGAGTGCTTTTCTAGGCCTTAGTATCTGTGGTTTAGTCCTATTATGTCCCAAAAGTCATCTCCTGCTTCCCTGGGGCTGGGCTAATGACTCTTAAGAGTTTCTTTGTCTTCTTGAGTTCCCTGGCTCCAACCTTCCTGATGGTTTTACATCTGCATTTGTATTGGGCTGGCTCTTGCTTGGGACAGAGATTTGAGGCCAGAGAGATTTGGTTTCTGCTTTTAAAAAAAAATCCCTTTGAGGAAAAAATATATTTTTCTGCCCTTTTAATATTTCCTTCTCTAGGCTAACTTCCCTCAAGGTCATAACTTGGGTTTATCATATTTTTTCCAATTCAAAGAAGCAACCTGGTTAATATGTATTATAAAAACACAAGTGATGCTCTATTGTGTGTATTGCAGCTATTGTGTGTGTGCGTGTGTGTGTAGCAAAATAATATTTGAAAGGGTTGGATTATATATCAACTTATGCAGCAATACTAAACTATTTTTCTATTATTGTCTATGTCTACCATGGGTGGATCCGTTTGCATACATTTCTACTTCAGGTGAATTGCCAGAAATTGTAATTGTAACATTTGATTGCTATCTTATCTAGCTTTCTCCTTCTCTAGCAGCTTTGCCTTTGATGATGCTGGAGATGAGATCTGATATTTGGAGGGCATCAGCTTAGAGAAGGTTTGATTGAGTAATAACAAATAGTCTTTTCAATAATGAAACTTTTCTCTATTTTCATGACTGTGCAAGTAAAGTGGTCTTTTCCCTTCCCTGACCATGGCGTTTTGGCTTTGGCCTCTCTTG